ATCTTTCGCCGTGCGTCTACAATATTAACAGAGGATAATGATTCTTGAAAAAGTTGGCCATACCGCAAATTCAAGCAATGCTTAATGATTTCAGAAAACGGAAATAAATGGACATTCTTTGCGCCACGGAGTTGGTATGACCATCCGTTTGGAAGGTAGATGAACCAGCATTAAGTAAAAAAGAATAATCCTATTATAGTTAATGGTTAATTAATAAATATTAATAAACGATATAATAATTAGAAAAAATTTATAACACAACAATAGTCGAAATCCTTCTATCCGGCTTGTTCTCATCAACGGCCGCGCCAAAAACGCAATTCGAAGTTCCACCAAACTTCTTGGCGTTGTGACCGTTGCTCCCATCGTTGACTAAACAGCGTCGGCACTGGGTTGTCCCACGGGTTGCTGGACGATAGAGTGAACGTCCGACGTCGAGGAGGATCCAGTTGGTAACTCGGGATGTCCATATGTTGTCCTTCACACGAATTACATGGCTAGCACATCGTCTTTTCGTTGTGGGTGGCAGTGAGTTCGTCCAAAAATCATAACCGACACCTCATCTATCTCATGTAGAAAATGGTCTCGAAGAGAAAACGCTTTCTATGAGTCCACTGCGTTACTACTGTTTTTTGCCTCAACCTTGGTAGCAATTCGCACCATTAATCATTTTGGGTAGGACAGCGGAGTACCACAGCTTTTAATTCCTGGAATTGGGCAAGTCGGCATTCGGAAAAGACGTTTTGATGTGACTGAAATTTGCCTTATTCTGGTGACCTCACCGTTCAAGTTGTTATTGGAGTTTATCGTGAGGCAGAGGTACACGTAGCTAGCAACTTTTTCCACTTCTTCGCTGTCGACAAGATGGTATCAGCCGGGCAGTGCGCAGAGCATCCGTTACGCCTTGGAGATGTCAATCTCACTGCCGATGACGCGTACGCAACTCCTTCTGCGACTACACAACTTTGTTTAGAGTTCCATGCGGCGTTTGGCGAGGATGTTGAGGTCTTTTGCAAAAAGCAGATGGGCGAGCCGTTCTCGGGCCGAGTTAATGCCACCGCCCCTGCAAACCGGTATTGCAGCACCGTCACGAAAAGCCTAGGAGATCATGGCGTACCTTCGGCGCACCCCTCTTTTTATTGTTGATTCGAACAGCTTTACATCGGCTGCAAGGTGAATAACGCCAGCAGTAATAAATCTATCATCTCTGCAAACGGTCTTATTCCATAATCAATAAAAACCATGCTGAGCAACCTGAAAGTACGAAAACGCTAGCAAACGAAGAGTGAGAACTCTGTTGTTTTCGATTCCGTCAGGATAGGATGAAAATATTTTGGATATAACAGATTTGTAAGAGGTAAGAGCTCTCTGACAGTGACTCTCTCATTCTCTGCATGAGAGAATATGCAATTACCATAGTGACAGAAGGGAGAGATGACAAGGTGGGCAGAGAGTTCGAATTTCGAAACAATTTTCTGATCCGTTAATTCCTTTGAATTAGCAATTTAGTCCGTTATTACTTCGGTGCAACCAGTTGAGAAACGGGTAGTTAGCCGTTGGCTTGCTAACAACAAGGGCAATATTGTGTTCTGGTGGCGCCGGACCTCAACGGTCGAGATGAAATGTCATGTTTACGAGTGCGAACGGTTTCCGGCACCTAATAGCTGACTTCCAGTGTGACAATCAGCAAAAGGTGTAAATCTAAAAATCTAAAAACTAAAATTCCTACTTGACAGTTCAAAACATTAACAAGACCATGCTCGTCAAACATTGGGCAATACTGACGTAGAAAACTTTCGTAGCATGAACGTAATTCATTTTTTTGCCAACGAACAGGAGAAATTAGATTTTCAATTCAAAACTGATCACTGCAATGTCAGTTTCAATCTCGATGACCACTTACCTTTTCGGGCAGCGGAGGCAACGCGTCAAATAGTGTCTTAAATGTTCCCATCCTTTGGCTAAGGTAACTTTAGTCCGGAGCAAAGTCTTAGAGACTCTTGCCACAGACTGTTCTTGGCCATCAAGTCAGGAACTTCGGCGGTCAGTTCACCAAGTATTGGCTGTTTCACATTCGTTTCTAGAACCACCCACAGGAGGTGCCCAAACCATTGCAGGCGTGACTTGTCAATCCGAAGAAGCAGAGGCTGTACACCAAGACTTTTTCGAATTTCTGTACTTCGGACCGTGTCGAAACGCGTAAGGCCAGCAATTCGTATCCAAAAGTAAATTTTAACTGCCTGCACACGAGTTGGAACTTATTCACTGACAGTCCGCGATTCATGACCATAGGTGATCTGCGTGTTCAGACTCAGATCTGCTTTAGTCACATTATTCGGGCTAGTTCACGCAGAAAGTCATTGGCTACTCCAATTCGCCGGTCGATCTGCTTCCCAAATTTTCCTTCAGCAATAAACACAGGACTCCGAGGTACTTGAAGACTCTCCTCCTTTGCTTCTCTGCTAATCCGAACGAGAAAACACCAGGCTTTACTTTTCAGAAACGTTCACAGGCATACAGGCCACTGGGCACTCGGCTGTGAACCTTTCCACAGAACGCAGTAAATCAATTTCAGAAGATGCCAATAAAACAAGGTCGTCTGCAAACAGCAACCTTCTCAACTTAACATCTCCAATATCGATACCATCGTCGCCTTAGCAGCTCCTGACTATTCTATCCATGTACAACACAAGCAGGATAGGGGACAGGACGTAAACTTGGCGGAGACCAGTGCGAACACTTCGACTTAACGCCATTAACTCTGACACAGCACCTGCTACCAAAAAGCAGTGATTGGGTGGCCCGTAGCAGCTGCCATCAATCCCGTATGTTCGCATGGAATCTGACCACAGGTTTCCTTTATGCGAACAAAACACATGTAAACCGGATGAGCTTCTTAGAGGTACTTCTGCAACAATGAAATGATGCTGCTCTTCTTGAATCCTACAGTAAACTATTTCGCGGCACCGCCTGCCCAACCATTGCGTGGACGTTACTCACGAGACAATAGCAAAATGCCTTCATAATGCAGCAGTTCCCATGGTCTCCTTCCTTGAACGGGGGTACTACAACCTCATTTTTCAGTCTACCGGTGTGCTTATCATAGTCACTGCTACAGATTGACGACACGTGTTAGCCACAACATAGCTTGTTCACCTAAAATTGGAAGCATCTCAGGACGGATTTTACGATTCCAGAAGCCTTGTCACTTTTGAATCTTATTACAGTAACCTCATCCACCTAACGGCTTATATCTGTTGTCTGTTGCTCTTCAAGCGGGTCTTTCTGCAGTTGCTCAAAGGAATCTTGCCATCCCTAAAGTATCTTTTTTGCGGAAAGTGATTACTCTAATAAAAAGATTTTTTGTTACCAAGTTAATTTCGCAGAATCATGTTTAACGTGGAGCATTGTTCAAATGGCATATAATTTTGGTATGTAGCGCAATACGTTGAGGGAAAGAAAAGGGAAAGTTTGTAACCATGCTCGAAAGGCAGGATCGACTGCACCTATGTGGCAGGTATAGTGTGGTTTCTAATTTCCTTCTCACAGAACGCTGCTCATCTACCAAGATCCAGGATGAAAGGCGAGTGATTCGACTGGGGCTTGAATCCGGGACCTCTCCGCATTGATTCTGTAGCTCTACCGAATGAGTAACCTCGCTTTATGGAAGGGAGTTCACCAGGTAAGCTTCCACTATGTTCTTAGCCGCTACAAGAAAAGTATGCATCCAAGTCGTTCGGTTACACCACTTGCTCTTCGGTACGCACCATAGGCTGGGACTGAAGAAAGTGTAGCAAACGCATGGCGCGTGCTGACGGCAGATTAGGATCGCCTTTTTGTTGGTGTCACTCAGTGGAGAAAATACCCAGAGGTTTCGGTTATCGGGAAAGCACGCGATGGAATGGGCCACGCAGCTGTGCAAGGCGGTCGGTCATGGGGAAGACGCCCAGCCATAGCCGACGATGTACGCCGCCGTCGCTGGCCACCTGTGGTCACTCGCATGGACGACGGTGTCGTGTGGTGCGGTTTTGTGAGCTTTAAATTCATACTCGTCAGCTGCCGCCTGGCGATTACGAGCAGAGGTGGTTGTCGAGCGATTAAATGGCCTCTCGCGCCGGCGCTTCGTCAGCACTCACACTTGATCCCATGTAATACGGAGTTGCGGCAGCTGCGATTATCGCTCATCACCGCTCATCACCGCTCGTCGTC